CTGGATGACGGCCTCAGTGCTTGGTCTCCTGCCACCTCTGTGGGAGAAATTCTGGGTCCTGGCTTTGTCTTGGTCCAGCTGTAGCTGTGGGAGCCATGTATGAAGTGAAGCAGTGATGGAAGATCTCTTTCTGTTCCTGCATGTGTATCATGACTCTGCCTTTCAAATCAATACATCAACTTTTCAATTCCTGCAATGCTATTAAAAATAACTATATAGAACTATATAGAAAAGTGCATAATTACAGTAATTACAAAATTTATGAGAAGCCATATATCTGAAGGAGAAGAAGTTAAAAGGTAGTTTTTGAAAAGGGTTGAATGTCTATTTGTAAGAATTTCAGTTTTTTTTAATCATAAACATGTCTATGGGAGTCACACACCCTTGTGTCCCCACCATAACACACTTCCTCTGTGAATATGCATTTATACTACTATTGAAATGTGACATTTATCTGTGCTTAATTATTACAAGTACATCGGCCCTTAATAGTGAATCCACTGAGGTTTGTCCTTTATATTCCAAACTCAAAAAATGATCTGAAACATAAAATGTTATTTAATAAATGATTGAATAATCAATGTTTTAATTAATATGTAGCTATTCCTATGCATTTTCCAATTCAGTGTTCCTTTTTGCAAAAAAAAAAAATCATATGATGTGTAATTTTCCTAATCCGTTATGATGGTTTGTAAAAAGTGTGAATCTCTTATCTTAAACTAGAATTCCTGATGGTCTTTGAGATCCAGATTCTTTGTGTCCGGTTGAACTACTTGGCCAGTGTAAGGCAAAGAAACAGTACACAGGGGAATTCTTTGAATAATTGTGTTAAACACCTCAAATTTTACAAATTAATGCACTTGTGTGCTCATTCTATATCTACCAAAAAAGTAAAAGCCCAGAAATATCTTCTTTAAAAATTCCCTGCAAACTTCAGGCATAATATTCAGGGTTATATACAAAAACATAGGAAGGGATGCCTCGTGTATTTACTATAGTTCTAGGCAAAGTATTTTCAAATTCCCACAGTGTGAAAAAGATACAAATGACCCAGTAGGTTATCAATGAGTGAAGGAAGCAAAACCATTAGGAGAGAAAGATTGTTTTTTCTACTGATGAGAGAAAGTCAACATTGAACAATTCAATAAATGAGAATTTTTTTGCTTGTACAACCTCTTGAACCAAGCATTAATTTCAAACAAAAAAAAGGCTTTGATCAATTTGAAAATATAAGACAAATTTGTTGCTGTATGTGTCTTGTTATGTGTTTTAGATAACATCCTGGGGCTGTTGCCCAGATACACAAACAACATCTGCTTTAAAAAAAGAAATAAAGGAAAGATGAAAGGCACCTTAGAAAAGTCTTAACAGTAAAATGGAAAAATGTGGGTCTTTGTAAATGTAAAAGGCACAGTGATGATTAAGTTCTAAGGGATGATGACTTATAGGGGTTGTATGGTACAATATCACAACTGAGTCGGTACTATCAATGCAAAGCTTGAAATGAGGCTTTGGCTCAGTTACTTACATAATGAGAACAATACATATCTAACATTGTTTCAAAAATTAAATATGTATGTATAAATAGCTAGTACTGTATCTTTATGTACTTATTGCAATGTCTAACTCAAACTTCCATCAACACTTACCTTGTTTCATGACCACAGCTGTCCTTGCATTATTACTGTCAACCAGACCAGGCCTTATCCTATTAAATCCTATTAGACCAAGCCTGTTAGACTATCCGTATTAGACCCCATCTGAGACAAAGAATTGCAACGAAAGTACATTACACACTTCCTATAGCTAACTTGACTGCACTTGGATTATAGATGGCGTAATTATTAGTGAAGAGTAGATGAGGGTATGTGTTTAGGCTCCAGCTACGTCTACAATCTGGGGAGTGCTGTTCTGGGTACCAAGTGCTTTAAGTCTGCTTTGTGTGAATGGGACAAATGCTACCTACTCATAGACATTTGACTAATAGGGCAGAGCAAGCACGGTCCTTTGCTGAGATTCAGCCTGTGTGTCAGCAGTGAGGTCTCCCTCGGATGACTCAGGGAAACATTCCCATGAAAAGCCTCCCCCTTGAGGTCATCTGGGCCTCAGGAAGTCCTAGTCATCATCCCAGCTGTTATCCCCCTCCCACTTCCGTGGGCCGAATTTGGATCCTCTGCCCTCTTTGCTTCAAATCAACAGCATGAACAGTTGCATCATCACATTTATCACTATCTGATATGTTCTTGCTCTTGCCCTTTTTGTATTTTTACTGCCTGTTACCTGAAGCTGTTTCTGCATTTTTATTCACTTACTGTCAGTCTCCACTTTTTCTAACACTTATTCTCCAATTCAATGTCTGTCCTATTAACTGTCATATCTCAGGATCCAGCACATGATTCAAAGTGTGATCAGCAAATAGTTCATTCTTTTCTAGTGGTCTAGATCATTATGTTTTCCAAATTAATCCATTTTGAAAAATTGTAACATGTTTCAGCTGTACATACAATTCAATGTAATAAATAAGAGGAAGCAAGCTCTGTTTAAGCATTTACACCTGCAATCCACTTTGATTTTATTTGACTGCACTGTGGGAAAGTCATGGTGTGATAATATTTAAGGAACACAAACAGACATTCAGCAATCACCTTGGTTTGTTAGAAATTCCAGAAATGCATCCCCAAGTAAACAAAGTGCAAAAGCCTAAGAACCCAAATGTTTAATTTCTTGCCAAGCCTACTTTCCTGCAACAAGAAGGTGTTTCGTTTTCCTGGTAGCTTTGAAGTACATAGCTCGCCTCAATGGGACCACAATTCCCCTTACAAAAGAAGTTAAGAACATCTCACATCTTCCACATGTTTCTCTCCTCCTAAGGACACACCAAGAAGCACTGCCAGTGCCTAAGATTGCTTGAAACTTGTTATGTCTCCAGCTGCTACACTTTTCAGACTACCTGCAATTTTTAGTGCAATGCAGTCTGCAGTCCTTCTTACCCATTCTCTTTTCACAAGCAAGCTATATCACCTCCTGGAATCTACTGAAGTGTCCTTAGAATCATGCATCCATTCCCTCTTGCACCAGGAAGGCACAAGTGTGAGCTACTTTGGCAGATCCTTGTCTTTAAAGGATGACTTTGGGAAAAAAAAAATCTGGCAGCAAGTAGCCTTCAGCCCTTATGCACTTCACCTCCACTGTACCTGCTCTTGGGATAAGCCATCGTGCCCAAAGAATGCTCCCAGTACTGCCCCAGCCTGCTCTTAAATAAGATTCAGAAATGCTAGTAGCTGGGACTTTCTGATGCGGCATAATTCTGAGGGCAGAAATAAATGTCCTGGGAATGGAAACACCTATCTCATTAAAGGCTGTCATGTGACACATAATTTCAGCTTAGGTCACCAAACATTTACTTTACCCAACTCAGCTGATTCTTGAGTTCCTTCTCTCGGGTTTAAAACAAAGTTGCAGGTAGAGTTAAGGCTTGAGAGGCAATGGCTTGTGTGACACCAGAAGATCTCCAAAGAAAAGCTAGAAAAGAAGGGTCTGTGTCAGATTGTTGCAAAACTGTAGTATTCCTACACTCCATCCACAGCCCCTGAGTGCCAATGTTCAAGAAAGCATCTTTTTATCATACACAGTGTGCGGCTATGCTGTCCTTACAGATCATATTCTCCTGGGTTTGGACCACTTCTCAAGCAAGCAATGAAAAGACATCATAACGGGGGAAATGAATCATCTCAGGGACCAAGAAGAGGGTGGGTGCACCTTGACAGTGTGTCCTGCAGAGACCACTCATTACTGCTGTGCCTTGGTGTGTCCACCCATACCATACAGACTCACACAGATGGAGTTGAGGGTGTTCCCATGGTCTGAAATTCACCGGCTGCTGCACTCCTCTGGTCTCATTAAGAAGCTCACTCCTGCCCCTGCCAACAGAACCAATCTCCACTGCTCTGCCCTCTGCCTTCCCATCCCTCTCCATGGAAACAGCTAACTAGTTGACTACTTACTTACTAATCCCTTTGGTAACCAAGATTTCAGACTCAGATGGAGGTCTTATACTGACGCACTAGAGATTTATGACACTGGCAGAGTGAAACACTCAAAAACACCTAGCAAAACTTTGTAAAGAATGGAAATACCCGAAATCTAAAAATTGTCTTGAGGGAGAGAATTCCCACACTACAAATCCCCTTATTTCCCTCCCCATTTCCTTTATTACAATGGATAGGAAACGTTAGGAATGACTGATGAATTCTGTATTGGGTCCTCTGCACCACCACCACCACCGTTAACGCTGGAATCTCCTTAGGGGTCTAGAGGGGGGTGTGTGTGGGTGTGTGTGTGTGGGGGTGTGTGTGTGTGTGTGTGTGTGTGTGTGTGTGTGTGTGTGTGTGTGTGTACACGTGTGTGTGAGGTCCTGAGAAGCACAGAGGTCACAGGTTCCGAGACCCCAGACCTGTTTATTGTCTGAGTCAACTGGTCCCGCGCGCACTGGTCACCGCCGGACTCCAGGAGTGATCTCAGCTGGTCCGAGGGGTGTGAGAGCCGGCCCCCGGCCCCGCCACGCGCCCGTCCCCACCCCCGCACCCGTTGCGGGTCCAGCAGTCCCGCCCGCGCAGCGTGACTGGCCAAACCGCAGACCCGGCGTGGAAAGGCGCGGCGTGCTGAACCAGCGAGGCGACGGGCGGGCGCGCTGGTGCCTCGCTCCTGCCGCGCGTCCTCCCTCCTCCGCTTCTTCCGCCCCTCCTCTGGCGGCCGCGCAGCCTGGGAACCAGGCAAGGAAGCCAGGGCGCCCCCAGCTCGGATCCCGCAGCTCGGGCGCGGAGACTGGCACTGAAACCAGGGCTGCGGGAGCGCGGACAGAGCAGAGCGTGCGAGTGTTGGTGCCTGAGAACCCGGTCTGCATCCGTGCAAGGCGCGCACCCTGCCAGCCGTGGTCCCAGCCAGGGTCGCCGTGGCCCCGCCGCCTTCCCGCCTGCACCCCGAAGCACGCGCTGCACACCATGAACACCAACGACGCCAAGGAGTATCTGGCCCGGAGGGAAATCCCTCAGCTTTTCGAGGTAGGTGGCCAGGGCCAACTGAGGGACGAGGCAGTTGCGCCCAATGCCACCTTCCCAGCACCGGGCGCGGAAATGAAGGGCTTGCAGGGGCGCGCTCGCCCGGGGTTGGTCGCCTTTCCGGAGGCTTGCCGGGGACCCTACAGATGGCTGGCTCAGGAGCCCCATCTTGCGCCCCAAGTTTCAATCTTCAGGCTGTGGAATCAAGCTCTCTCCATTTCACTACTCGGATACGGATACCCGGAGTGGGCTGCAGGTAGCGGCCAGGCTGCGCTCTCGAAGGGGGGTGGGGGTGTGTGTGGTAAGGGTGGGGAGAGCGAAAGCTAGGCCATGTGGGGTCACTGTCGCCCAGCAGCGACAGAGGATTGGATGGAAATCAAAGGGTCCGGAGCCCTAGCTTTTCTCTAAGCTGAAGGTGGGGAGCACTACAGGGCCCAGGGCAGTGGAGGTTACAGCATCTTCCCCGGGAGCAGCTTGCTTGGGGGAGAGAGATGAAGATGCAGAAAACAAATTCCAAGCCGTCCAGTGCCGTGCTGCCTCCGGGTGACTGGTGCTTGGCGCTGCCTGGAGCTGTCAGTGAATGAACTCCTGAGCACGTTTTCGGTCGCGAGAGGGCCGCCTTTGCAGGCGCTCCCCAGCCCACCTGGTGGTAGATCCGGGAGGAGCCAAGCCTGACTCCTGTTGCTCTGTTCTCGGACCACTGCGCCGTCTGCACCCGCGGGGCAGCACTTTGAGAATGTGAGAGAGGTCCCTTGAGGGGTGAATGAAAGGAGCTCTGATCAGTTTCAGCCCCAGCCTTCTCTTCTGTTTGGCTTCTTTTCCTTCTCTTCATGTTTAAATTTACAATATCCCAGAATCCCAAGTGCTTTTTCTAGGGGAAAAAAGAAGAGAGAAAGAGAAGAAAGAAAGAGAAAGAGAGAAAGAGAAAGAGAAAGAAAGAAAGAAAGAAAGAAAGAAAGAAAGAAAGAAAGAAAGAAAGAAAGAAAGAAAGAGAGAGAGAGAGAGAAAGAAAGAAAGAAAGAAAGAAAGAAAGAAAGAAAGAAAGAAAGAAAGAAAGAAAGAAAGAAAGAAGGAAAGAAGGAAAGAAAGAAAGAAAATGGAAGCAAGCCAAGCTTCGTAGCGGAAACCTACTCAGTGCAAACCTGGCCTCCATTTGAGGGAAATAATATACTGACTGTGGATAGTTTTTTTTTTCTTGTTTGACAAATTTGTTTTTATTGAAAGAAGCGTTGAAACACCACTTGGAAGAATAATTTGGACCCAGTTACCCAGAAGAGTCTTGCACTAGGGTGCCATCAGTACTGTCTCTGTTCTTCTGTCAGTCTGCATTTCTGGGTAGACCATCCCCCCTAGCGCAGGCCTGGGATGTGAAGCTCAATCTAGCAGGTGTGTTACTCCTGCATGCAAATAACCAGGCAGTTTTTACCTAAGAACAGGTCTTAAGAGTATGTGAGAAACTTGCTCAGGTTTGTTTCTTCCTGAAGTATTTTCAATAACTGAACATGGAAAAGAGGAGCTGAAGATTTCATCATAAAGCTTACCACTGAGATCAATTTCACTGATGCACTTCTAAAAGCGTAATTAGAAACAAATGTCGGAGAGCTGTCTGATTGTGAAATACTGCTGGATAGTACTTCTTTTTTCTTTGTAAGTGTGGGTACTGGTTTTCCTATTAGGTGACAGATAACCCCGGGGGATTTTGAGATTTTTTTTCTGGAGAACCTACCCTATATGTGCAAACAAATGAAGACTTCTCAGTAGCCTTTTCTGCATACAAACAGTCCCTTTTAAGATAGTGTGCATTTCAGAAAGCAAAATCAACCTAACTGGGTGGAGTGGTGGGTGGTGTACTTCTACTCAGCCCTGGTCAGTGGGAAGATGGAAGGAGACTCCATCTGTCTGTGGAATCCTCTGACCCTCTGAATCCTCTCATCTCCCAGGAAGATGGATTTGTGGAATGCACAGTGCAGGAGGAGTGCCCAACCTGGCAGTGCTGCACGCAAAAAGCCAGGCAGCAAGATCAAATATTTCAGAATCCTGAATTGGACTTTCTGTAACAATACCATCATACTGTGGGTCTATAAAGTGCATCAGTTGGGTTGAATAACCGTGAATATTAGACACCATTACGAATCACGTGACAGATTATTGAATCTACATATTGTCAGACAATACCTACAACTAACTGATCGCTTCCTGATTTATTAGTTAAAGGTGATTTGGGGTGTCTCTGACAAGTTTGTGTTAGAAATATATTTTCATTTTTGGTCTAACAGTTCTTTTCTTGAAAAGGTTGTCATAAGTTATTGTGTCTATGAGTTCCGAAGTCTAGTTCAACTTTGTGGTGTAATACATCAATCTTGGTTCCTAAATCAGAAATTTGGTGATTAATTTGAATACAATAGGAAGTTGTTACATGATTCAAATTCTCAGAGAATTAACTAGGAGAATGAATAATAGTGTCTAATCATGGTTTTCAATTCTTGATAGTGATTGGTTATTAGAAAAAGAAATTTAAACTCATCCCCTGTTAAAACCCATGTTCTTTAGGGTCAGTTTAATTTATGAAAGCTGAACCTTTGTTGAGTTTGCTCAGCTTTTTAGGCAATAGTGTGAATTTTTAAAAAATTATAAAATATCATGTTTTGACTAATTCATATTGTAGTTGGCTAATACACTGAGAATCTGATCATTTCTTTTACATCATATAATATTTGTCTAAGATGTGCAAAGAAAACTATGTGGATTATTGAATCAGGCACTTGCAATCCTGGGCCTAGTAGTTTCTGGTAAGTAATCCTGAGCAAGTCTCCAACATCTTAGTCATAATTTAATTTATCAAATGGAAATAGAAATGAAAATGCCACATAAGTCTGAGAGTACCTTGGGTAAGATAGCACAAGGCACAGAGATATTTATACATTGCTGTAAAATTGCTTAGAGTGTAAGAGAGGGTGAATTACAGTGTGTGTCTGTGTGTTTAGCACAGATCTTGACGCACATTGAACGTAGAGGCCCATTTCAGTTTTTTCCACACACTCTGTCATTGACCTTATCTGATAGAATTGCATATTCCAATATACTCTGTTTAGGATTTCGGGAAACAAATGTGCCTAGTAAGAATGGCTTGCAATTTGAAACAAATTGCACAAGACTAATTTGAAAATGAACTGTTGCACTCAAGAAATATGTTTGCCTTGCAAATGGTATGAATCGTATCCTTATGCATTAATAGACATTTATTGATAATGAAAAAACTGCATGTTTTCTACCATGAAGTACTATGAAGGAAAATATTTTACACCTCATCGAGTTCCCATGAGTCAATATTTCCAGATTGTAGCAGTTTTAGAAACTGGTACATGTGACGCATTGGACACTATGAACAGAAAAGTAATAGCAGAAGGCTGCCTTTTTATTCCTGTTTAATCTCAGTGAGCAATGGGTTACCGACTACTTTCAAAACATTTTTGAAGTTCAGACTTCACTTGCTGTATATATCACTTAGACTTGAGTTTTGAGGAATTTTCTCCCTTTTCAGAAAATAATCTGACATGCACCTGCCATCTGCCAGGAAAATGGTCATGTACTGGGGACTGCAAAATAGCTGAGACCTGTTCATTGTGGAAGAGCAACTAGTTTAGAACAGACCAAAGCATAACCCAGTGTGGAGAGCAGAAATGACAAGTGTGTTATGTGCGGATACCATGGGGACACTGAAGACGAACCCAGAGGCCACCCAGAGGTTTCCTGGAGGCTTCCTGGCAAAAATAATGGCAGCTAAAGATATAATGGGTTATTACATATTTATCATGTGTCACCAAGCATTTAATATGCACTGTACAAATACTAAACTTTGTAAAATGTTTAAAATGCATTTTTAAATTTTGTTTGAAATGCAGATAAACAGACATAAATTTGCCGCTGCTGATTATCCCCAAGTGCTTGCAGTAGCCAGGGCTGAGCCTAGCAAAAGTAGGAGCCTAGAAAATTCCATCTTGATCTCCCCCGCGTGTGGTAAAGACCAAACTGAGCCAACATCTGCTGCCTCTTGAGGTCCTGCTTCTGCCCTACTCAGGGAAGGGTTAGACTTGAGCCCAGACACTCAGATATGGGAACCTGGCATCCCAAGCAGTAACTTAACCTCTGTGCCACACACCTTCCCTCCAATACTGCACTTTTTAATTTTTAATAAGGCCTATGATGTAAGTATTATTTTTGAAAAAGATAAAGATTTATTTTTACTGGAAAAGCAGATTTTCAGAGAGATGGAGGGACAAAGATCTCCCACCCACCGGTTCATTCACAAGATGGTCACAATACCCGGAGCTGAGCTGGTCCAAAGCCAGGAGCCTCCTCTGTGTCTCCCATGCAGGTGCAGGATACCATGGCTTTGGGCCATTCTTTTACTGCTTTCCCAGGCCATATACAGGGAGCTGGATGGGAAGTGGAGCAGCCAGGATATGAACTGGTGCCCATATGGAATATCAGAATTTGTACATGGAGCCAACTGAACTATTTTGCTCCCCACCAGGTCCTACTTTATTAAAGATTTGTTTTATTTATTTGAAAGGCAGAGTTACAGAGAGAGAGAGAAAGAGGAAGAGAGAGAGATGTTCCATCTGCTGATTCACGACCCCCCTCCCCAAATGGCCACAACAGTCTGTGCTAGTCCAGGCCAAAACCAGGAGCCAGGAGCTTTTTCTGAGTCTCCCCTGTAGGTGCACTTGGAGCATCTTCTACTGCTTTTTCAGGCACATTAACAGGAAGCTAGATCAGACGTGAAGCAGCCAGGACTTGAAATGGCAGCTTTTGGGATGCCCTCATTTTAGGCAGTGGTTCAACCTATAATACCAGAACACTGTCTCCTCATACCCCCATTTTACATAAGAACTTGAGGCTAAAAATGTTTATTTTTAAAATATTTATTTATTTGAAATCAAAATTACAGAGAGATAGAGAGATTATCCATCTGCTGGTTCACTCCCCAAATGGCCACAGGGGTCAAATCTGAAGTGGAACAGCCAAGCAGGACCCTTATGGGATGTTGACATTGCAGGAGGTGGGTTAACATGTTGGCCCCCAGCACTGGCCTGGAGCCCTGGAGACTTTAAGGTTGGGTAAAAAATGAGGTAAATAATGTCTGGCTACGTTTTCCATTGCTACAATCATCTCACTTGATAGATCTCTTTTATTTTAAATTACACAGTTGCCAGAATTGCCTAAGTAGAGAATGCTAAGTGAAACTAGTCAAGAATTTTTCTTAATTACTCCATCAGTTCATAATTCCAACTTTAATTGCTTGTGAAAGCACGAATTCAAAGGGCAAAAACAATCTAGAATTCCAACATGGGACTCAGCACTGCTCTAGCAAAAGTAGTTTAAAAACATACTTTATTGTATTTCAGAGCCTTTTGAATGGACTGATGTGTTCCAAGCCTGAAGACCCAGTGGAATACTTGGAAAGTTGTTTACAGAAAGTGAAGGAACTGGGTGGCTGTGACAAGGTGAAATGGGATACATTTGTCAGCCAGGAAAAGAAGACCTTACCTCCACTTAATGGAGGACAGTCTCGGAGATCCTTTCTGCGAAATGGTAATGTACATGTAGAATAACACATCCTTGCACAGTTACAGCAATTCTCTTTAAAATATGCCATGTAGACCATAGGCAGTGATTTTATTTATTGAACTTATAAATGCCTGGAAGGATGTGAGTGCCTGGAACACAATTAATCTCTCTTTGCAACTAATTCTAATCACTTCCATGTCAAACAAAATGACATACCGTTGTCCAGCAGCTCCATGAAGGCTTGATGAAATTTTACATTGCTAACTTGATTATTTTGTAAAATGAATTACATTAACAAACCAAGAATTTTAAAAACTGTGAATACATTTTCAAAATTAATAAATAGAATGAAGTTATTGCAAGATAGTCTCACACTTTTTATTCACTGAAAGAGATTTGGCTTATTAATGTTTTCCAACTCCATAGTTTATATTAATGTGTAAATGCACTCTTAAAATTTTTGCTAGTTAATTCAATAAAGATTTATTAAACAGCTACTGAATGCAGTGTATTAGATTATGCATCTGGGTACTATAAAAGAAGTAAATTTGTTTAAATTTTAGAAATGATTTGCATCTAAGAGATGTAGTTTCTTAGAGAAACTTCATGGTATTCTGAACTGTTTGAAAAAGCAAGATGTGTTTTCCAAATTAGCATGACAAGGCTGGCGTGGTGGTCTATGGGGATAGATGCCACCTTGAAGCCAGCACCACACATGGGCTCCAGTTTGTGTTCTGGCTGCTTTCCTTCTGATCCAAGTCAATGTTAATGTGCCTGGGAGAATAGCAGAAGATGACTCAAGTCCTTGCAGTCCTGTATCCACATTGAAGAACTTGGTGGAGCTCCTGGCTCCTAGCTTGGGCCAGGCGTAGCTCCCACTATTGTGACAAATCTTTCACTCTCTCACCATAACACACACAAACCTGAATTATTTTCTTGTGGCCAGAAAGATTATATAATCAAAATATAAACCACTTTTCAAAAACTGTGCCACAAAAAGTTTTGACAGTACTGACAGAATTTAAGGTAGAGATAACTGTATTTACAATAACTTTTAGGATGAAACAAATTTTAGCTTGTCATTATTTGAATCCAATGTGAGAAAAAGTCATAGTGTAAAACGGCCTGTGTTGTAATCCATTGGGTTAAGCCACGACCTTCAATGCCTGCATCCCATGTCAGAGAGCCAGTTGGAGTCTGGCTGTACCACTTCTGATCCAACTCCCTGCCAGTGTGCCTGGGAAAGCAGTGGAAGATGTCCCAAGTGTTTGGGCTCCCACCACTCACATGGGAGATACACTTGAAGTTTCAGGCCCATGTCACCCTGATTGCAGTGGCCTTTTGGAGAGTAAATGAGCACAAGGAAGACCTCTTCTCTGTGTGTGTGTGTGTGTGAGTGTGTGGTCTTCTCTAGTTCTGCCTTTCAAGTAAGTTAATAAATCTAAACAGCGGCTAATGCAGTAGTATAGACGGAGGCTACTTCTGTACCTGCAGTGCTAACATCCCATATAACCACCAGTTTCTGTGCCGGCTGCTTCATTTTTTATATAACTCTCTGCTAATGTGCCTGGGAAAGCAGCAGGGGATAATCCAAAGTCTTGGACATGTGAGAGACCCAGTAAAGGTCCTGGCTTAAGAGCGGCTCAGCTCCAGCCATTGCGGCTATCTGGGGAGTGAATCAGTGGATGGGAGACCTCTCTCTCTGTCTCTCCTTCTCTCTCAGTGAAATCTGCCTTTCCAATAAAAATAAATAAATCTTTAAAAAGAAAAAAAAAAAGGAAGGCAGGAAAGAAAGAAAACACAAGCAGAAGAGGGAAGGAAGAAACCAGCATTTCCTTAGCAACACCTCCAGAAAGGAAGAATCCTCAGGATGTACAGGAGCCAGTAGGAAGTGACCTGTGATTCCGTTTTGCCAGAGAAGATATAACACCCAACTGAATATTGCAGTGGATCTGAGAAGCAGCTAAGATAACTAGCTTCAAGAATTTTCAAATGTAGCAGGCCTGATAGCAGAGATAATTAGAAAACATTTAATGGGACTAACAGACAATATGGTCTGTGTCCTGAGTCTTGGGGAGCACTTGATCTTGTTACCACACAAGGTTTCTCACTGCCATCCACCTTCTGTAAATAGTTTTACTCCTTTCTGCTGGTCTACTTGTAGAACTGGTTCATAACAAATCAGAGGCCTGGGTTCAGAAGTTCACTCTCTGTAAATGAATGAGATTTCTGGGCCACTGGGAAGAGTGTAAGGTCCACAGAAGAGCACATGAACAGAATTAAAGCTCCAGTCTCCAGTTCAAAGCACGTGGGCACAGCTTAGACTACACAACTCTGGAGTCACTAGCATACCTTTTGTCAGTTATTGCTGTTGACACCACCCCTTAGTACATTTCTGTTTTGGTGAACAAAACGCTGTTTGCACCAGGATTCATGAGTTCATTTACCTTCTCCAAATGGCTCCCTTACTTTCTGGGGTGTTATCATCATATTGTTAGACTATGGCCAAAGCTAAGTATATGTGACATCAGATGACAAACAACATGGGAAATTTTCTTTAACTTAAAACACTAAATAAACCTCAGATGTTATCAGATAATGTCCAAGATACTACTGTATATTTAAAATTAAATTTAAGGGATTACGACATTAGCCTAGTTGAAAAACTCCCGGGCCTGGCACGATGGCCTAAGGTCTAAATCCTAGGTTTTCATCTGCCAGGGTCCCGACTGCTCCACTTCCCATCCGGCTCCCTGCATATGGCCAGGGAAAGCAGCGGAGGATGGGCCCGAAGCTTGATACCCTGCACCCACATGGGAGACCCAGAGGAGGCTCCTGGCTCCCGGCTTCAAATCGGCTCAACTCTAGCCATTGTGGCCATTTTGAGAGTGAACCAGGGGACAGAACATCTTTCTCTTTGTATCTCCTTTTCTCTGTACATCTACCTTTCCAATAAAAATAAAATAAACCTTACAAAGAAAAATTGCTCTCAAATCAAAGGTAAAATGTAAATCTGCAACAAAATGAAATGTTTATGTTTCTGATTGATAATGTTATTTAACTTGATTATACAGACTGTTGGTAGGCAAAGTGTGTAATAGAGAATTGTGAGGCCTGTGACCAAATCACAGGGCAGAACTATAGTGAACAACCATTGTCCAAAAGCTAAGAAGTACAACTTTGGGAAAATGTCAAGGTGAACCAAACACATTTATGAGACTTTGTTGGGTCCACAAATTACCAGTTAGGAATTCTTTCTTTTTTAAGATTTATTTTTATTATTATTTATTATTATTATTTTTTTAATTGGAAAGGCGGATATACAGAGAGGAGAGACAGAGAGGAAGACCTTCCATCCGATGATTCACTCCCCAAGTGAGCAAAACAGCCAATGCTATGCCGGTCCGAAGCCAGGAGACTCTTCTGGGTCTCCCACACGGGTGCAGGGTCCCAAAGCTTTGGGCCGTCCTCGACTGCTTTCCCAGGCCACAGGCAGGGAGCTGGAAGGGAAGCAGGGCTGCCGGGATAGAGCCGGCGCCCATATGGGATCCTGGGCGTGCAAGGTGAGGACCTTAACCACTTGCGCCACCGCGCTGGGCCCCAGTTAGGAATTCTTAATCAATTAGGGTAAGCTAAACCAGGATTGAAAAACGTAGATTTAATATTCTATAGACTTTTTCATTAATCAGACAGAGCCTTTCCGTGTTCTTTTTTTTTTTTTTCTTGTAAGGATTTATTTTATTTTTATTGGAAAGGCAGATATACAGAGAGGAAAGACAGAGAGGAAGATCTTCCCTCCGATGATTCACTCCCCAAGTAAGTGCAACCACCGGTACTGCGCCAATCAGAAGCCAGGAGCCTCTTCTGGGTCTCCCACACGGGTGCAGGGTCCCAAAGCTTTGGGCCGTCCTCGACTGCTTTCCCGGGCCACAGGCAGGGAGCTGGAAGGGAAGCGGGGCTGCTGGGATAGAACCGGCGCCCATATGGGATCCTGGGCGTGCAAGGCGAGGACCTTAACCACTATGTTGTTGCGCCGGCCCACCTTTCCATGTTCTATGGTGATAAGAATGGTGGGAAGCAGTGTGCAGCAGCCACCTCGAGGCTATGAAAGGCGGCTGGCCCAGGCCCAGGAGGCGGGGTTGGCCTCACCAGTAGGCAAACAGGAAGTCACAGTGTTAGACTGATGCCATTGCTACTGGCCTATCAGGTAGCGCTGAGTGGACCTATGGGGAGAGGTGATTGGTGGAGAGCGGTATATAAGCAGCCCACTTTCGGCAATAAATGTTCCGGTTCCGGTTCCTGTTTCTCCAGAGCCTCGAGTGTGCCTAGTTACTTAGTGTTGCTGCAGGTCGGCGACAACTGGTGGCCCTTACGGGGATTTCCCAGCCAGCGCTGGTGTAAGAGTATAGAGTAAGTTTAAAAGTTATTTATTTTCGCCCTAAGAGGCGGTAAGTGCACTCGCCGTAAGAGGCGGGTTTCAGCCCAAAGAGGCGGTGATACAGCCCTCAGCGGCACCTTTCAGCCCTAAGAAGCAGTGGTTTTTGTTTCTGAGAGGCGGCAGGATTGCGCTCCGTCTTATTCCTTCAGATGGGGTTTGAGGTTTCGTGTGCCTGTATGGAGGAGCCATTAGAGGGGTTGTTAAAGGTACTCCCCTGGGCCCGGCGCGGTGGCGCAAGTGGTTAAGTCCTCGCCTTGCACGCCCGGGATCCCATATGGGCGCCGGTTCTAATCCCGGCAGCCCTGCTTCCCTTCCAGCTCCCTGCCTGTGGCCCGGGAAGGCAGTCGAGGACGGCCCAAGGCTTTGGGACCCTGCACCCGTGTGGGAGACCCGGAAGAGGCTCCTGGCTTCGGATCGGCATAGTATCGGCCCGTCGCGCTCACTTGGGGAGTGAATCATCGGATGGAAGATCTTCCTCTCTGTCTCTCCTCTCTGTATATCCGCCTTTCCAATGAAAAATAATAAAAAAAATAAATCTTAAAAAAAAAAAAAAAAAGGTACTCCCCTTAAATCGGCCACTGCTCGTGCATTTTAAGGACCATAGAACAGGTGAGTCCGTGGTTCTTAGGAGACGGCCTCCTTAATGTGCCTCAGTGGAAACACCTGGGAGACGACTTAAGAAGCGCCAATAACCAACGGCCTCTTCCCCCAGGGACAGAATAGCTCAATTGCTGGTTTTACCCAGCTGCCTTATTTAGTTAATAATTTGGATAATTGCACTGCTTTTCTTTTTAGGCCCACTCCTCCTCCATTTGTGTTTCTTGTTATCAATGCTAGTCAGGTAGGGGATTCACTTACCTGTGGAACAGGTTGTTTTCTTTCAGAATGTTGGAATGCAACCAAGTACCCACTGGCTGTGGTGATGCGAATGCCTACCTATTTTCCCAGGCCAATGACGTTTAAAGAAGAGGAGCTGTCAGTCCTCTTGCGGCCAAAGCGCGACTTTGGGGTTACCGCTGACATTGTGATGGCAATAGTTATGGCTGCCATTGTGGCCACTGCAGCCCTAATGACTGCTATACCGGTGGCTACGACTGTCAACGCCCTGGCATGGCAGACCTCCATGGTTTTACAGACACAGGAGCAGTTTAACCAACAAAGAATGTTGGATCACACTGTACCCTAGTTAGAACCTATGCTAAAAAATAGATTATGGGGCCTGGCGCGGTGGCGCAAGTGGTTAAAGGTCCTCACCTTGCACGCCCGGGATCCCATATGGGCGCCGGTTCTAATCCCAGCAGCCCCGCTTCCCTTCCAGCTCCCTGCCTGTGGCCTGGGAAAGCAGTCAAGGACAGCCCAAAGCTTTGGGACCCTGCACCCGTGTGGGAGACCCGGAAAAGGCTCCTGGCTTCGGATCGGCATAGTATCGGCCCGTTGCGCTCACTTGGGGAGTGAATCATCAGACGGAAGATCTTCCTCTCTGTCTCTCCTCCTCTCTGTATATCCGCCTTTCCAATGAAAAAAATAATAAAAATAAATCTTTAAAAAAAAAACAGATTATGCAATGATCTAGCCCACAGTAACAATGGTGTTTTTTTTTTTTTAAGGTTTATTTATTTTTATTGGAAAGGTGGGTATACAGAGACCAAGAGAGACAGAGAAAAAGATCTTCCATCTGATATTTACTCCCCAAGTGGCCACAACGGTTGGTACTGTGCCACTCTGAAGCCAGGAGCTATTCTGGGTCTCCTGTGGGTACAGGGTCTCAAGGCTTTGGCTATCTTCAACTGCTTTCCCGGGCCACAAGCAGGGAGCTGGATGGGAAGCAGGGCTGCCGGGATTAGAACCAGTGCCCATATGGAATCCTGGCATATGCCAAACAAGGACTTTAACCACTATGCTATCGTGCCAGGACCAACAATGTTTTATTTTTATGCACTGCTTTGTACATGTGTGTTTTGTTGGCTTTAGCTATAGTTTGTAGATTATTAAATTCAATCAAATTGTAATTCCCTAGTAACTTAAAACATGATTATTGCTAGAAATAGAGTGATTTATGCCGTTTTTTCAGACATTGATGTAAGTATGCTAACATAATTATCACAAAAAGTTATTGCATGAACTAAAACATTTTTAGCATCTAACCGAATTATTTTACCAAATTAATCTATGAAAAATCAAGGCTAAATCATGGATCGACAGTCTTGTGAAGTGTTAAATATGAAAGGAGCATTCTTTTCCCTGCCATGTGCATATCATTGAACAATTTCCTGTGAACAAAAGTTCTGGTCCCAGAAATCCACACATTCGTGATAGTATTTTGCTGAAACATTTCATTATTGTCTTTTACTCCTTATGTTCAAAATTACATTCCCCTTATTTGCTTCAAGATCAGCACCACTTTTCCCTTTTCTATTTACATGAAGACAGTCAATGAGTTAGTTGGGCAATGTAATAACCACTTATTGGGCATTTCTAATGTGCCAGACATTCCTTTGGGACTGAAGATAAAGCTACCAAGAAAGAATAGATATGATACCTGCCCCCAAGGAGCTTGCAATTAAGCAATGAAATCAGGCAGTAAAAATGCAGTCAGGAACACAATGACTGCAGTAGAATATACCATATGGGTTTTCTAGAGAAGTGAGGAAGGAGAAAGCTATGTTTTATATTGGTAATTGGTTAAGCCTGATTTGGGCTTGCTGTGGTGTCTCTGGCCCTTTTGAATATATCATTTGTATTTCTAACTCTGAGCCTTTGTGTAGTTCCCACCTTCTGAGATGTTCTTACAGCATTCCTTGCCTTTGAAAAGTCTAGTCCTGCTTCTTCTGGCAGTCCTTTCAAACCAGCACTCCAGCTTCAATGGTCTATCCATTTGCTAGATTACTGTGGGGCTTACCATGACATATGCTCATTTTAGCACTTTTCCTGGCTATTGTGCATGGACTGGTCAGGTGTAAACATATAAACTCTCATTTGTAAGCAATAGAGACAGGACTTCAGATCTTACTCTTCTACTGAATCATAAACACACAAATGTGTCTGACATTGGGGAAAATATTTGTTGCTAGTGTAAATACAAACTTACATGTGTTTGTTTTTTAAACTGTTAAAAAAATTTTTTTTCATTCTATTTGCAATATTAAAGACAGATTTTTCCATCCACTGAGGCAAGAGCCAGAAACTCAGTCTTGCTTCTCCCACATAGATGATAGGACTCAAATACAATGTGGTTCTCCCACATATGTGACAGGACCCAAATACTTCATTATTGTTACCTGTCAGGGTACATGTCAACAGGAGCCTGAAACTGGAAGCGGAGGAGCTCAGATCTGAAGCATTCATTCTGATAAAAGATACAGATTTCCCAAGCAGTGATCTAACTGATGTGCCACATGTCCGCTCCCATTGTTACATTTTTAATTGGGCATTTTGAAAATACTGGGAAAGTAAAATTAAATGATATTGGAAAAAACTCCAAATGTAGAAATTACTTTCAATCTTTTGTCTATCTTAGTACAGTACTCTCTTTGCTTGTTCGGTATGCCATCAAACCAGTTCAAAGGATCACGTTAGAGTTCCTGCATCATAGAGGCTGCATATCTATGCTTGTAATATGAATGGAATGCATGATTCATGAAAATAGTGTCCACAGATAGCTGCATATGTTTGCAAAACTTTGGTACTATACAAGTACCTTTGCAGAGGCCCAGCAGTCTACCAAAATGGTAGAAAGGTGGGCCTGTGCTTGAGTAGGTTCCTCTAGAACCTAGGATGACAAACTGTGACACAAGAACCAAGTTAATCTTACAATAAATATCTTACAAATGCTTCCTTGGAACAGAGGAATATCCGTTGTTATCTAATATCTATGATGGTTTTCCCTTTTCCATGACATGATGCTGCGTGACTCACAAAGCCCAAATATTGTCTGTCTGGCCCTTTAACAAAATTTGCAGACTGCTTGGAGATATTCTGGCCGTTGACAGAAAAACTAATAATAACAAATAATTTTTAAACACTTGTTTAACTTTTAAATGTCTTCTGTCAATTACTTAAGTGTGAAAAGTGAATTCTGTGCTCTTTTTCCTTTTCAAAGTTATCTTATTCTTTTGCAGTAATGCCTGAAAATTCTAACTTTCCATATCGGCGTTATGATCGGCTACCTCCAATCCATCAATTCTCCATAGAAAGTGACACGGATCTGTCCGAGACCGCAGAGTTGATTGAGGAGTATGAGGTTTTTGATCCTGCTAGACCTCGACCAAAAATTATTCTTGTTATAGGTATGATGGCAGAATGTAAAGTTTTCATACTGTTGCTGACCTTGCTTATAGATTTGCTTTTCAAAAATAACATTTGTTATGTATTATATTTTCCAGAGCAGTTGGATAATGAGAGACAATAGAAACAAAGCTGCAGATGACAGAAAACGAAAACATTTTAGATTAATTTTCAGTAAAATATACTGTTTTAAATTATATAATTTTATGCCAATTGCATATAGAGATTCCCACTACAATGTTAGAAAAATTCTCCATCATTGAGTAGAAAGTAATTTTGTCAAGATTCATTGTCTTGTTGTCTTATTTACTTAAGAACATTTATTGTATGTAGTTGAATCCATTAGACGTTTTCTGAAGGTTCTGCTTTAACTTAACAAGTTGAATTTTTGTTTACTATTATTCTTTTATTATTTTCCACAATACAGTTTAATAAGCATAGGAATTCATCTCCCTCCCCCATATCTCCTCATTTTCCACTTCCACTATTTGTCTCCATGCTTATCATGAAAGCATTGTCACTCAGTTCATGTTTACCAGTTTAACTTTCTGATATTTAAATGTACCATGACATAGTAAATCTAGGAAAAGGTAGAAAACATAGTATCACAATGTAAAGGAATTATTGTAATTATCATTGGGAGTCCAACTATCACTTCACAGTATATTAATCACCCATGTAAAATTCATATATACAATATATATGTATACATATATATTGTACTTTGCATATTGTTTGTCTTAGAACACATGATATTTGCCCTTTTGGAACTGGCTTATTTCATAAGTGTAATGAATTCTAGTTGGGACCCTTTTGTTGAAAACAGTAAGATTTCGTTCTTTTTATGGCTGAGTTGTATTCTATTAAGCAAATGTTCCACAATTTCTTTATCTATTATTCTGTTGATGAGCATCTTTGTTGTTTCCATGTCTTAGTTATTGCAAATTTTGCTGCTGTAAACAGGGGTTGAAAGTGGCTCTCCTGAATGCAAATTTCATTTATCTGAATGTATTTCTAAGAGAGGGATAGCTGGGTCATATGGTCTATCAATTTTCAGTTGTGTGAGGACTCTCTCTACATACTTCCATAATGGTTATAGTTATTTGTATTCCCACGAACAGTCTATTAGGAATATTTTCCCATCATCCTTGCCAACAGTTGTTATTTGTTTACCTCTTTGTTGACAATTATCACTGGAGTTAAGCAGAACCTTGTTGTTTTCATTTGCATTTAACTTATGGCTGGATAACCCAAGCATTTTTTCATATGTCTATTAGTCTTTTGAATTTATCTTTTGAAAAATGTCTGTTGATATTCTTTATCATTTTATTTTTACTCTTTTTCTTTTTTTAATTTTTCTTATCATTATTTTCCATGAGTACAATTTTATAGCAGTTGGGACTCATTTATTTCCATATCCTGCCTCCCTGCCCATTTTCCTCTACTACAATAATTCCCCATGCTATCATGGTAGTCCTTCTGTAACCATCGCAAGTTCAATATTCTTCTATTTAAGTGTATTATGACATTTTAGGTATACGCAATGGTAGAAAATCTAGTAACCTAGTGTCAAGGTACATTTAACTTACTCATTGAGAGTCCTCCTTTTATTCTGGAGTGGAGATACATACTGCAATGTATCTTCAATTTCCAGTATGCTAGTCTCTATTATACAGTTTATCTATGAGAATATATGTATATATTTATTTACTTACATATCTATTTGTTTTGTATTTTACATGAAGTCTTAGACAGAGCACATTGTATGTATCCTTTGGGACTGGCTTATTCACTGAGCATAATGATCTCAAGTTGAGACTTTTGTTGCAAATGGTAGAATTTTGCTCTTTTTAATGGCTGTACAGTGTTCTATGAAGTAGTTGTACCACAGTTTCTTTATTCATTTCTCATTTGATGGGCATCTGAATTGTTTCCATGTCTTTGTTATTGTGGATTCTGCTGCTATAAATATGTAGGATTGCAGGTCACTTTCTCACATGTAGATTTCACTTCTTTTGGATATATTTCCAGGAGTAGGATAGCTGGGTCATATGGTAGGTCATTTTTCAATTGTCTGAGCATATTGACTTCCATAGTGGCTGGACAGTCTAAACATCCACCAACAATAGAGTAGGTTGCCTTTTTTCCCCCACATTGTCACCAACCGGTGTTATTAGTAGATTTCTGCACGTAGGTCATTCTCACTGGAGTTATTATTTGCAAACTCAAAAGTTTTTATTTCAATTTTTCTGATAAATATGGAACCTGAACATTTTTTTGTATCTGTGTTAGCCAGTTAAGTTTGTTCTTTTGAAAAAAATGCAAGCTCATTTCATTTCCCCATTGCTTCACAAAGCTTTTTTGTTTGTTTTGCTATTGTCGAGTTTTCTGGCATTCCTCGTAGACCTTAGATATTAGCCTGATGTAGCCCCATTGGTTTATTTATGCTCTAACTGTGCTTTTGGTGTCTTTTTAAAGAAATCCTTGTTATTCCTATAAACTATACAGTGTTTCTGAATTTTTCCAGTAGTAATTTGATGTTGTTTGGGCATAGCTTTAGACCCTGATCTGTTTACAGCTGATTTTTGTTTAAGGCGAAAGGTAGGGGGTTTTGTTTCTTATTCCTGCAAGCACATATCCAATTTTGCCACACAATTCATGAAAGAGACTATCCTTTATCCCTATGTTGATTTTTGGTTCACTTGTTGAAAATAGTTGACTATAGATGTCTGGGTTCACTTCTGGGATTTCTGTTCTGTTCCATTGATTTTCCTCTCTGTTTTTATGCCAGTAGCAGGCTGTTTTGATTATCACTGCCCTATGGTACATCTTGAGGTCTGGTGCTGTAATCCCTGCAGCTTTGTTTTTATTGTTTATGATTCACTATTAACTTCTGAAGGATCAGCAAATAATAACATATTGGTAAAGATTCATAAAAATTTTCAAAGATTCATATAAATAACTTTTCTTTACTGTAAACTGATACTGACATTAAAATCTAAGTTTTAATTGTTCTAGACAAACACATCTGGCAGAATACTGTTTTAAGCAATGCATAATATCTGAGTATATGTCAAAATAACAGTAATAGTTCATCCTTAATATTGACACTATGAATTTTGTTGAATATGATGATATCACTTCCATATCCCAATGAATAAAAATTGTGAATGTTTTAAACATTTTTACAAAAATGCCTTTTTGAATGCTTCTGCAAATTCTTTCTCAAATTTTGTAAAACCTACAAAGAAACCCATGATCATTCAATACGTATTGTCAGTTTTCACAGAAAGACCAAAAGCAGAGGTCTAACATGAGATGCTCAAAACTCTTCTATCTGGTAACAATTGACTGAGAGCCAACTGTCCAGAGACCTCAAGCGAGGAAGCTGTGCTCTGAATGCCATGACCATGTTGGCAGCTAGGAAGAGGCATAGACACACACAGTGTCAATAAAACTTCTACCTACCAGCCTGGAAGGGATGTCTGTATATTTTGAAGTGAAATGAAAATGGTATTGCAAATATATTTAGCCCTGTTATTAAAAATATTGCAGAAGGACATTTTAGAAATCAGTTTTCATAAACTTGGAATATTATTATGGCTTCTGGAAAGTACTGTCATGCCATAAATCTCTGTTCTTGAAAATGGAGAGCTTCTTTGTAATTAAATATTGAGATTTTTATCTAGAAGACAATACTTTATTAAGAGAACTGTGGAATAACTGGGGAATATATTGTCATTTTATGATTTGGGTGTAAATTGATACTGCTTTTCTTGTTACTGTTAGAGAAGTATTGGTGATTATTAAAAAGAACATATTGAAGCATGATTGTTCATGAGGATGGTGTAATAACAAATTGCCTTATGTGAACACTTAGATCTTCACCCCTCCGTATTGTGAATTTCGTAATGAGAATGATTCAAACATTTTAATAAATTGATGTATTTGGATGGGATAAAATTTCTTAAATCTTCTCCAGGTCAAGTTTTTAAATTAAAAATATATTATTCCTTTTTATTTATTTATTTTTGAAATGCAGACAGGAAGAGTGATATGAACAAACAGATGACTAATCAGAAAACTTCCATCTGTTGGTTTATTCCCCAGTTGCCCATGATAGCCAAGACTGGGCCAGGCAGAAGCCAGGAGCTCAGAATTCAATTTAAATCTCCTCTGCTGTTGACAGGGCCAAACTATATGAGCATTCATCTGCTGTCTCCCAGGTAGCCCATTAACAAGAAACTGCAATTAGAATGGACTGGGCACTCGAATGTGGATGCCAGTGTCCCAAGTCACATGCTAATCCCTGGCCCAAATACCTGGCCTTAATTCTTTTTTCTTAATCTAACAAAATTATCTTTCTTTTTCATCAATATGATGCTTAGGGTCAGCATCATGGTGTAGCAGTTTAAGTCACAACAGATTAAGCCGCAAAGGGTTGAGCTGCCATATATATAAAGGCCAACTGTTGACACTAGCGTTCCTTGTGGGCACCAGGTCAAGTTCAAGTTGTTCCACTTCTGATCCAGCTCCCTGCTAATCATCTGGGAAAGCAGCAGAGGGTGGCCCAATTGCTTGCATCACTGCATCCTAGTGCGGTTACCAGATGAAGAGTTTTACTTCCACCTAGCCTGGCCCCAGCTGTCATCATTTGGGGAGTGAACCAACAGATGCAAGCTTGCTTGCTTGCTTGCTTGCTTGCTCGCTCGCTCTGTCTCTCCCCTCATGCCCTCACTCCCTGTAATTCTACCTTTCAAATAAACAAATAAAACCTTGAGAAATGAAAGGATAGTCTCATGCCATATTGTAACATTTTAAGTGGTAAAAGAATGATTCAAGAAAAAGTGAAAACATACAATTTTCAGAATTGAGACAAAGAAAGGAAAAAGAAAACTATTAGTTGACTGGGAAGATTGGGGCAATTTCATGACTTTTAAAGGATTATGAAACAATTGTCCTTGAATCTTACACATTTTTGTTGGTCTAGCTTGGAAAATGTATGGAAGAGGTACACACATCCACATATTACTTCTAAGCAGACAGAAGTTCCCTTGAGACATTGAAGTATGTTTAAAGGTTAATCTTCATGGCACAAATGTGCAATCATCGTAAACAGTGTTAGATTTTAATATAAATATTAGAGATAAACAAAATTAAGCCTATTCTTACTTTTAAAATACAGTGAGATTAACTTTGCTAGAGTTTCAGTAATCAAATTCATCAAATAAATTAGTGCTATTTTCTGTCAATTGTGCCAATCATACTTCTTTGTTGTCTGCTGGCTATTCACTCTATTGCTGATGAAAAGGATTTTATGCTTTTAGTTACAGGTGCTGTAACTTTTCTCAGCACATTTGAATTGTTTTTGTTCAGTGAAATGTATAATCTCTGATTTTGATCATTTGTGAGATTAAATATGGAAGTATTTTTTTTCTGAAATAGAATTGATTCTTCAGAGATTAAATCAGCTTGGAATTGTTGATAAGATTGGTCATGTAATTTTTTCTTCCAGCCAAGCTTTGATTTCTCTGTATGTTAACAGGCCCAAACAGCTAGTTTTAGCCAAAGCTTTTTATTTGCAAACACTTTAATATAGGGTCCCACATTGTAGTATGGTGGATTAAGCTACCACTTGTTACACTTTACATCCCATATGGGAGCGCCAGTTTAGTACCAGGCTGCTCCACTTCCTAGCTGGTTTCCAATCTGTTTATGTTCCCTTAGAAGGTAGCAGATTATGTTCCAACTGCTTGGGCCCCTGCTATCCGTATGGGAGACCGTAATGGAGTGCCTAGCTGTTGTGGCCATTTGGAGGAGTAAACCAGTGAATGAAAGATCTCTTTTTCTTTCCTCCCACCATCTCTTATCACTCTGCTTTTCAAATAAATCATTTTAAGCTAAAAATGTTAATCTGAAGTAATTCATATTGGTAGATAAAATAGGATAGGATTTAGAGTCTCTTAGAGAATGGTCAAAAACAAATTCCTATGTTAACTTTGATAAAGGAATAGAAAAATGAAGGCTAGATTTTGTTAGATGTATTATTTGGGAATGGAACTAAGAAATGATTCCATTAGAATTTCTCTAACCAAATCCACCACTCAAAATTTTGTCTTACAAAAAAGCTTTCCCTTTGGCTTTTTATTTGAAAGAATAAAAAGTTATTAAATAATTAGATACAAAATTATTTCAACGTACAGAGTTTTTATTAGTAGACAATATCAATTCATTTTTCTGTTTATCTTTATTTTCAGTATTGCCTTCAATATCATAATTATGTCTCAATGAATATTACCAAACGTTGACTTTTTTTTAAGAAAATGCATTTACTTATTTGAAAGGTAGAATGACAGAGAGAGCAAGGGCAAAATAATGATATTCCTTCTGCTGGTGCACTCTCCAAATGTCAGCATCAATCAGAGCTGGACCAGGATGAAGTTAGGAGCCTGAAACTCCATTTAGATCTCCTATGTGAATGTCAGGGGCCCGAGTCCTTGGGCCCTCCTCTGCTGCTGCACCAGGGCCACTAACAGGAGTTAAAGCAGAAGTAAAGTAACTTAGGATTTGAACTGATTCTCTGATATGAAGTGTCAAAGTTGAGGGTGCAACTTAACCCGCTGTACCACAACAAAATCTCCATGCATTGACTTTTTAAAATGTGTTGCCTATACTCAATAATTTATGCTCAAGTCCTTGAAAATGTTTCATGTTCTTAACTGTTACCAATTTAACTATAGAGTGGACTGATTGCTGCACATTTTATTTGAAAATATATTCCAAATTAGATTCTAATTAGTGTAGGTTGCTCAGAACTATGCATTAACTATAAATTAAACTAAAATTGTTTGTAAAACAAAATCTGGGCTGTAAATATTTTATTTCTATTTTCAAAAACAAGTGGCAATTACTGATTATTAGTACTGAGTTAATGATGCAAAGCATTATTTCATACAAACATACCACAAAATTGTAATTCTTAGTTTCATGAAACCTTTCTACCTTAAAGATCTATTCCATTCACTCTCTGTACTTAGTGCATAAAACTTTTGAATCTGAAGGAGATAAAGCAAGAACACATATGAGCAAACAGATTTCAAGAGAAGATCTACATCAACTGTGCCAATGTTTGGTTTAAAACTAGTTGTTGCACTTCACCAAATTACACGTTAACTCCTTTTTTATGTGCATAAAATGTATTTCTGTTCTTTTTTTTAACATAATCTTTGGTACTCCATGGATTTTTTTTTCTATTTCAAAGGGAAAAATGATTCATTTTTTACATAGAAACATCTTTCAACTGCATTGTTCAAAAATTGTATTTAGTTTCTTACTAAAAATAAGTAGAGGTGGAAATATCTCTCATCTTATAGGGTTGGTTGAGACAGTTCTACCATTCTGCTGGTGGCAGCCTCTGCTTGCTCTGCTCTCAGAGGTGGCACTGAGAATGTCATCCATGTGACAGGACCTGCCCTGCTACTAGTGATTCAAAGACAGTTCTTTATTGTATTAGAAGACCGTACCTTTTGTGTTTTGAATAACAGGTGGTCCTGGAAGTGGAAAAGGTACTCAAAGTTTGAAAATTGCAGAACGTTATGGATTCCAGTATATTTCCGTGGGAGAATTATTAAGAAAGAAAATCCACAGTACCAGTAGCAACAGGAAATGGAGTCTTATTGCCAAGATCATTACAAATGGAGAATTGGCTCCTCAGGTACTGCTTTGTAATCTGCTTCTAGTCTGTAAAACAAGTATGCCAGTTGTGAATATGTGAAATTTGACTGTAGCTTTCTCATCCTTTGTCTTCCTTATACAAGGAAACAACAATTACAGAAATAAAACAGAAACTGATGCAAATACCTGATGAAGAGGGCATTGTCATTGATGGATTCCCAAGAGATGTGGCCCAGGCTTTGTCTTTTGAGGACCAAGTAAGACTGTCTCCCTTTATTTTAAGTGACCTGCTTCTTTCTTAAAGCTTTGAGATTTGAAGAAAAAAAAATGAGTCAGGTTTTTCTTTTTGTTTGTTTGTTTTTATTGAATTCTGGTCTGAATACAAACAAACTTGTCACCATGGGTTGGCAAAAGGTTATTATTTCCTTGGCAAGTGCTTAAAAATTGAAGACAGTGTCTGCCAAAAAGATACAAACCAGTAATAGAATTCACTCATGTTATTAAAAATGCAAAGCTCTATAAACTTTATTTCAAAATACTTTTTCTAAAAATTTAAAATATCTGTAATTACTGAAAGCAAAGCCATGTTCAGCACTGACTAGGGATGTAAACCATCCCTGAGCACAAGTTCTTACCAACTAAGGAACTCCTGGCTGCCCATTCTGTGCAAGCTTGAATAGACTGTGCATGCTAAATGTGTACTGCATTTGATTCAAAGGCAAATGCATTGATTATAATATTTTGTATGTGTATTTAAAATTTAAAAAGCTTAGATGACTCATTTTTTTCTTTCAAAGTTTTGGTCATAAAGACAATGTATGGTCATACAAATTTTAAGCACAGATGTAAAAAATGAAAGTCTGTGTCAGTGTTTATCTGCTGTTTCTCCTATCCTAACAGAAATTCTGTTAGATTTATTATTTGCTCTTCCAGACCTTTTTCATGATAGCACACTTGTATATAGAGGGATGCACAAGCAGGTACACACACTTTTGCACAAATGCATTTTAACATTTTATAACTGTGTCCAACTTGAACCCCAAAACATCTTTCCAATTACATGCCTATCACTGTTGAATGAGAGTAACTGTTGCTCCAGACTCTGTCCAGCCAGAGTAATCTATATGAAAAGCTTGTGTCAACCTGGTAAGTATGAATTGGTATTTCACTTTTTGAAATTTATTTCTTGGGTTTCTATTGTCTATTTTTGTAAACTTGTGATTATTTACATTTCTTCCTTGTGTGAAATATTTGATTTCCTTTGCCCATTTTTTCTGCTGTCCTGCTTATCTTTTCCTGAATTAAAGGAGCTTTTCAAGTATGTCAGATATGTCAGAAAAGGATGAGGTTAAACACAATGTAAGTTGATGGTTCATATAAAAGCAGTTCAAAATTAGGCAGTTTCAAGACCACAACACCGTTTGAATCTTCTAATTAAACTTTAGGAACACTTGTGACAATAGATTGTTTCCACCCCTTCTTGGCATTCCCCTTCCACTCTAAGTCCAGCATTCAGACACTGTAAGAGTTTGGCTCTACTTGTTTTGTCCTTGAAGAGATAGAAACCTGAAAAATCTGACACATGTTTTGCTGCTGTGCTTTCATTTGATGTTACTATTGAAATGCAGGCTAAGGTAGAAGTCTTTGGGGTCATTGGCTGCTGGAGGAAGGTGATAGCCTGACAAGCAGGCATGCCCAGGACTGACCTGCCTTCTGTCTGGAAGGTACTGCCTTTGGCAGGTACATGCAGCACAGATGACTGCTTCTTTCTCAGTCACCACTTAGTCAACACTGTTGAGTGTGTCTTCTTTCCCATACATTGTGAGTCAGGACTGATTTTCCTGGCTTTGTGGTTACTTAAAAAAGCATGAGCAGATAGTCTCTCGCCTAATAAAAAATGCAGTCCAAGCTTTAATTTCTCGTTCAATGTAACCTAGCTTCGCTGAGGCCTGATTCAGGCACAGAAACCTATAAGTGATAGGAGAGTGGTAACGAGGGAAGGAGGAAGAGTAACTGTCACCTGAAGAAAAGTCAGAGATGGATGGATCTGCAACAACTCTCTCTGGGTACTGGAACACTTTTTATCTTACATAGCTTGAACTTGGATGATGTGCCAAGGGCTCAATGTTGTCTTGAGAACATCTGCTAACAAATTCTGTAAGATACTGAGCTGTGTTTCTGTGGAATTTAATCACTTGTTTTTATTGTTCTTAGTGGTACTTCTGAGACTGAAATAAATCCAACTGGGCATCTGCTTAGGTCAGCTGCCTAGGTCTCTGAAGCTGCATGGCATGTGAACAGTTTACTGTTGTCTGAGGATGATGCTGTCATTTTTGATCATATAGGAGGTACAAAGCTGAAGTGTATGTTTTTTTTTTTTTGTATGACAGACCCTCTAGGTTTTTGCTTGACCCAGCTTTTCTTAGTACAGAATCTGGGTACAAATAACCAGGCTGGCATTTTCCTCAGGATTTCCTCTCAGTTCTAGGGTATGACAAGAGGGAACTTTCTGACATTAGCATATACATCCAATGATTAGATCATTGTAATGAAAAAGATCTAACAGAATAACTTACAGAGTAAAAAGGATATGTGAATGGCCTGGATTGGCTGCGCAGCTTTCTCCCTGAGGCTAGGTAGGGGCTGTGACTCCTTCCAAAATGTTCAGCTGTTTGCAGGTTGCTGCCATCCTCTATGATTGAAGCAGGGCTGCCATCACATATGGGCTCCAACTGTCATGCAAGAGCTTAAAAAGAACACGAAAGTCTGAAGTCCCATGTCTGAAAATGACATCCATCACTTCTGCTCATGTGGCATTTGGTCATGTTGCAACTCTGAGAAAGACTGAGAAATATTATGGTACTCTGAAAGGGCTGGGGCAAATGGAATTTATTTTCATGCAATTTTTTTTAATCTATGTACATTTTTCTTCATATTTGTATTTAATGAAATTTTGAGGATCTCTTATAAGTATGGATTCCAAAATATTTTTGCACCCAGTTTCTTTTAATTCAAAAATTTTGTGAGGTCTTTGAAAAAATTGTGTATAATCTAACTTGGGCAGCCAAGTGCCTGGCTACAAGTCTCTTACTCTGAAAGACTGGGAAAATCAGCCAGTGGCTTTTACTGTAGTGTTCCTTCTGGCCACGCAAATGTCCACCTGCTGATTTCCTCCCACACATTTGCTGGACTAGTGAACTCCTCCAGGAAAACAACCCAGGGACCCACCATCTGGTAAAACAGCTGAGAATCCCTGCTTAATGCACAGTTCTCTTTATTAGATCCAAATTTCATGCCTCCTACTCAACTAACTATAAACAGAACTTCATGTTATCCTTCCTGCCTTCCCCCAGTAAGCCCAGAAGGAACAGTCGGGATCAGTGAAATGAAGGCTCCCATTCAGAATGGAGAAGGTGGAAACTCATGTATTGGTCATGGAGCATAGCAAGTAACAAACCCTGATGGTTGTAGATTGCACAAACACCTTGCATGGCAGTGGAGTGGTTTCCATGGTCACCCCATTGGCCACTCCTGATTCTCCTAGCTTTGGCATCACTCTGGCTATTGTTTCCTATATGGCCATTCTGCCAGAAATGGCTAAATCTAAAGTCATTGTCTTCACTCAGAGAATTTGAAATGTGAGACAAGGATAGCAGTAAGTGAAGTAACAAAGTTTAATAAAGAGAATGCACTTGACAGGCCCAGTGGGCATCTCAGCAAATAACTGAGAATCCAGACTGCCTTCCCACTGGAGTTTTTAGACCTATGAGCTAATGGTTTAGCTTGTGTCCCACTTCTTCTTCAGGAATATCAGTGGATGGAGGGCTTTCTAGGCATGAAATTCATCAAAGTTCTCAGAGAACTTTATCAGGACAGTGTTACTGAATCTACTGTTGCCCTGGTGGAGACTGGGAAAATTCCTCCAGGGAAGGACTAGGTCCCATCCAATAAGGTGATCAGACTTGGACAAGACTTGTCAGGTGCAAATGCTGCTCTGCTTCTGAGCACTGCTTCTACATTTTTTGCTCCATCATTCAGTTTCACAAAATTCCTCATTCTTGCTCTTCAGTTCCCTTCACACAAAGGCAAATGTTTGCCTTCCTACCTAACAGTCACATCAAAGAATACCCTTCTTGGAACCTCTTTTTTTACATTTGAACACACACACACACACACACACACACACACACACACACACACAAGCCTTTTCTTGCTAGGCTTGTATCTACTTTTGGTAAAAACTGATTCGCTGAATTATTTGGTGGCTCCTGCCCCTTTTGCTTTGGGTCAGAGTCCACAACTGTTAGTGGAGGTGACTGGTATGAAAATTCTTGTCTTCATGGAAGAACAGAATTTCAGGTGTGACAGAGATCAGTAGTAAATAAGTTAGTGAAGTTTACTGCAAAGAGTACACCTTGTGTTAGCTGTGGGCATCTCAGCAAAGGACTGGGAGCTCGGCACACATTCAGACTGGTGTGTTCATGGGAATAGCTCTGCTGTTGTTCTTCACCCCCACCTCCTTCCTGTGGGATAGTTCTCAGTGAAGGGCGTGGAATTTGTGAAATTTCTCCCGGCTTAATAATGTTGTTACACAGTCTCTCTGGTGCAGGGCTGAGAAGATTCTGCTAAGATGTCCCTCGGGCAGTTTCGAACCCATGTGCAAGGTTATTGGACATAAGCAAGAACTTCAAAATCTGAATTCTGCAATGCTTCTAAGAAACACATCTGCATTTCTTCCCTCACTCAGCCATGCAGTCTTCCTGTTTTTGTTCTCCAGTAGTGCTCTGACACACACACAGGCTGAAATCTACCTTTCTCCCTAGCATAACAACTCCTAAAATTCCTTTTCCAGATATAATTGCTAAAGCTGCTCTATTTTTTTTTAAATCATTTTAATGGCAGTTGCCTTGAAGCTATCTAGAACAGCAGGCTGGGGTAGAAAGGCCACCCCTCTGGTTTAAATCTTGCTTGAGTGATGGATGCCTTTTGTTTGTGTAGTCATGGGAAGGAGGGCTTAATTATAGTCCTTGGTATAACAGCAGTCTCATCTACTGTTTGGACAGTTAGAAATAACTGCCTTTTCCAACCATGTAAAAATTACTGAAACTTTCTTCTCCTTTGTATCTACTTGCAAATTGGTCAGTCATTTCTGAAATTTTTCTATTTCTTAGAATATGTTGCCAAATCTGGCCAACAGCAGTTAGCATATACTAACATCCAAGCTTTTTCCATTCCTTTCTTACCACTGTGTGGGCTC